AGGATTTCTTAAGCAAATCCACTGGGCTTTCAACATGAAGCCAGAAAATGATCGGGACTTTTTTAAAACACAGTGGGAAACGGGAAAAATTGTTATAAAGCGTGATTGTCACGCTGAAATCGGGATGTCTGGTCACCTTATAAGAAACTCTTGTTTGTTTGTCTGTTTTGCAGGTGTTCCTTTCCCCAAGAATTTCCAGCAGGTCTGCACAAAGATCCTAACACGCCTATTCAGGGTTTTCGTTCATGTTTATATCCACCACTTTGACAGCATCATCAGTATTGGTGCTGAAGCTCATGTCAACACTTGCTACAAGCACTTTTACTACTTCATCAATGAATTCAGTTTGGTTGATCAAAGAGAATTAGAACCACTGGTAAGAAACATCCTATCATCCTTCTTGCTTCTAAACCAAGGATGTCAAACTCAATTTCATTGAGGGCCACATCAGGGTTGTGTTTGACCTTGGGGGCCTGGGTGGGTGTGGCTGGGGGCCTGGGTGGGTGTGGTTGAGGGCCCTGGATGGGGCGTGGTTTGACATCATGTGGGTGGGGCACCTATAGTGGCCTGGGCAGAGCTGGAGAGGGATCCATTGTCTCCAGCAGAGGAAGACGAGACCTAGCCTCCAGAGGACCCTTGCCGTATGCTGGTGGCCAAGTGCAAAGGCAGGACTTTCCTTCCTTCCTTCCTTCCTTCCTTCCTTCCCTTCTATTCCTTTTCCTTTCCTCTTCATTCTCCCTTCTTCTTCCTTCCCCTCTTTCCTTCTTTTTCCTTCCTTGCTCTCTTCCTATCTTTTTCTTTGTCTTTCCTCTTTCCCTTTCTTGTCCCTTCTTGGATGCTCAAATGCATTCTCCTTTTGTTTGTTTTTTCCTTTTAGTTTGTTTTGCTAGCCCTCTGACAATGAAAATGGAGCCCTCCCAAGCTCCATTTTCACTGGCAGAAGCAACACAGGCCAGTCCTTTGCTGTTTCCAGGACAGCCCCATAGGCCACAACTAAGCACCCCAGAGACCAGATCCAGCACCCTGGCCTTGAGTTTGACACCCTCTTTCCAAACAGTAAAGATTTCCTTTGGATGAAAGAATGCTGGAAAGAGCAGTTGTGCAGAAATAACACAGGGATCCTTTAGCTTATTGCTTTACAAGTTCCTAGTGATTAAGTCATGCACAATTAATCTACATAGACTCATGGTTTTTATGTTGCAAAGCCAAGGAAATAAATTAGGGAGACATTTGGGATGACGGTGGATAAGAACATACTTTTGAAACAAGACAAACTGATCCACAATAAAACAAAGACACCACCAAATCAGAAATCTCATCTACGCAACAACAACCTGCAACTCTAATTGAGTACCACCAAGGCATCTGTATTCCTATGTATTTTTTGTGGAGGGAACAGGGACTTAATACGTTTCATTTTGCTTTAGAATTACATATAGGTAATTCAAGAACTGCACTAAAACTTCCCAGTTGTGTAGTTCCTAGGTGCCTTAAGTAATGCATGTGTGATAAGTCACAGGAGTAAAAAAAAATATCCCCCTCAAGGTTCCATGCAGTGCGGCTTCACTTTTTATTTGTTAATGATTAGATTTATATGGTGTTTTTCATCCAAAAGCTCAAGGCAGCTTACAAAGGAACCTCTTTAATTTTATCCTCACAACATCAACCCTGTGTAATAGATTTAAAGAGAGTGACATCCCTCTGTTTAGAGGTAACCCAACAACTTGACATCTTATGCTTAACCATGCATTTTAAAACATTGTTTGTTGACTAAACCAAATTTGCTTAGCTTCACCCAGTGCAGGAGCCAAAAACCATATCTTATGAACTTATGAATTGCTGAGTTCATTTATTGCACTAAGTTGTAATATGATTTTTTAAGGTTTTCAATTTAGCAAGATGTGTGAGCCTGGCTGCTTCAAAATGGATTGTTTCACCTGAAATCTTTTTTTTTTTTCTGATGAGGCATTTGCTGTTTGGGAGCAGTTTTGTAGATGAGGATATATATGCAGTGTTTCACATACATCAGAATAATTGCTGATCTTAAAAGGCAATTAAAACACAGGAAACCAATGAAGGTGGGAAGAAGGGGAAAAAAACCCTGTAATAACTTCCCTCCTTCCTGCTGTTTCCCTTAAGGCATAATAAGAGGAAGTTTCTCCACAAATACCCTTGTAAAGTGGCAGTAACCTGTGCTCAGTATTGTTGGCTGGCCAAATGAGAATTGTTTTTTGTTCTTTGTACCATATTGTTCAAGCAATGGATTTTAAACAATTCTTGACACATATGAATTTGTTCTTTTGGTGATAAGATATGCACGGCTGCATCATGGCTTTAATTCCTCCTGCTTGTTCTCAGATTCAAAGTGAAATGTGATTCACAATATATCCATTGGCATCCATTCCTAAGCCCAGGGATACTGACATGATGAAGTGTGTGTCATGACATCATTGTGCAAGCTCAGCCCTTTTTGTATTTGCGATGTGATCACATACAAGAATTAAAGGAACACAATTCACCTCAAGACATTGTGATGAACATTGTATTGCTTGTTGTAGAGGAATGCTTAAATAACCTTGGAGTAGCAAAGATGAAATAAAAGATAACTCAGCTCTGGGGAAGGGAAGGTGTGAAAAAGAAACTCAAAATAATCCTGCCTTGAGCTTGATCGATGTTAAGACTATGCACAGAGAAAGTCTGGCAAGCTTTCACTTAGAATAAAGGTAAAAGTAAAAGGTTCCACTGTCCAGTAGTTTCTGACTCTAGGCGATGTTCATTTCCATTTCTTAGCCAAGGGTACAAGTGTTGTCTGAAGACATTTCCATGGTCATGTGGCTAAAGCACATGGAATGCTTCCCTCTGAAGTGGTACCTATTTATCTAGTTGCATTTGCATGTTTTCAAACTGTTAGGTAGGCAGGAGCTGGGGCAAATAACAAGACTTCACCCCATCGCAAGCCACTCATGTCTTGAACCCAGGCTGTCGGCTCTAGCATCTTTAACCACTGAGCCACTGTGCCCCCTTCAGTTAGTATATCCTACTTGAATTAGTAACGTTCATGTAATCTTTGAATTGTTTCTAGCCTGGTTTATCTCAATGGGGTGCCTTCACCCTGAAGATCTTATGAGGATATCTGCTATAACACTGACAATAATACAACTTCAATATTGCAGTTGCAAAGCTCATTCCTTCTCTAAGATTATGGGGTGCAAGGTTACTGAAATACCTATAGCTAACATCAGCTTAAATGCTTTGACAAGAATAATACAATACAATACAATACAATACAATACAATACAATAGCAGAGTTGGAAGGGACCTTGGAGGTCTTCTAGTCCAACCCCCTGCCTAGACAGGAAACCGTACACCGTTTCAGACAAATGGCTATCTAACATCTTCTTAAAGACTTCCAGTGTTGGGGCATTCACAACTTCTGGAGGCAAGCTGTTCCACTGATTAATTGTTCTAACTATGCTTCTTGTTATTTCCACCCATTGCTTCTTGTTTCCTCCTATAAAGATAAGCAACAAAAAGAACGAAAGAAAGAAGCAAATTCAGATATTGCCACCAAATTAATTCTGTTTCTGACAGAAGTCTCTAATATTGGGAAAAATCTATGTCCTCCACTCTAACTCTGTTCGTCTTCTTACTTTGTTAGAAAAGAGGAAATAGTGGGAAAAATATGGATTGGGGGGAAAAAACTTCTCTGGTAGAGAGAAGTTCCCTGAGGATGGGCTCCAGCATGAGTCTGAAAGCTCAGAAGAGTAAACCTCTGGTCCGGTGACTGACTCAGATTGGATCCTGAAAAAATATATATTCCTAAGTAGCATTCCTGCTTTACATGTTTGAAAGTTGCCTTGTGGTGAGATAGCAGCAAACAAAATTTAAAAATAAACAAATAAAATAAAAAATAAAGAGCAGGAGGGAAAAATCCAGGGGAGGAGGCAGGAGGAGGCAGGAAAGAAAAATCAATTTTGTATAATGGGTACAGTTAAGTTATTACACAGGCATTAAAGCTATCTGCTGATTGTCTCTCTAACCATCCCTTCTTGACCTCTTTTTTTGCACCAGTAACTGGAAGAATTGGGTGACAGTCCTGATTGTGTACTAAATTACTTCTTAGGAAGGAAACACATTGAATACACTGGACTTCCTTCCAAGTAAATGTAGAAACACATTGAATACACTGGACTTCCTTCCAAGTAAATGTAGAATTGTGCTATAAATGTTTTCTTTGGGAATTGGTTTCAGGTTTGAATAGTAATTTAGAAACAAGAGTGGACCCTTCTTTTCTGATTATTTTACATAAACTTATATATGGAGCTTATGTAGAATAAAGAGCATCACTTTATGGCTGGTATTGTAGCACTTCCAGGAAGGTATGAAGATCCAGTGATGACATCTCTTTTCACTTCACATGATGCTGTAGCTGGAGGCTTGTGAAAGTGAGGAATGCTAATTTTCCCCTCTATTTTTTATTGAGTGGGGAAGAGGTGTCCACTGCAGTGAAAACAATTTCTGAAATAGCTTGGTTTTATTTTCTTGTGCTTGAAGTGGGGGGGAATCCAAATTTCTTACCTCTCTTCTAGTCACTTTCTCAAGCTCACCGGGCTACAATGGATGATAGAATCAACACACATTCATTCTGAGATATTATCAGGAGTCTTCCAGAGAATTCTCAATTGAGAATTGAAAAAGAAATAAACAGTGCACATGCTTTTAAAAGGGGGTTTTGAGGCAAATTTTTCCAGGTGTAAGGTCGGGACAATAAGTTACTGGCTGAAAATCGAATTTGATGGCTGCTAACCAAATCAAAGCAACACAGGTAGAAGTATGGCTGGGATTGTAGAGTGAATGTCTATAGGTTCTGAGCATTCTTTCCCAAAAGCCCTCTGGGTTTATACATCCTGGCCTCACCTCCTAGCCTGATAGGAGATAATTACTGCTGTCACCAACTATCTTCCATGGAACACCTCAACTTCTGTCCTTCATCTATCCAATCTGTGAAAGATAAGATTCTTACAATTTGTTTTTCCCCTTTAGTTTAGAATAGAATAGAATTCTTTATTGGCTAGGTGTGATTGGGCACACAAGGAATTTGTCTCCATTACATAAACTCTTATTGTACATACAATCAACAGAGTGATAAATCACAGATCAAAATCATAAAATACAATCATAATTCATAAGATATAAACAATTGATAAATCATAATATACCAATAGGACCCTGTTCCCCCCAAAATAAGACCTCCCCCCCAATTGGGCTTTTGAGCACATGTGCTCAAATAAGCCCTCCCTGAAAATATTACAACACAGCAACAGCCATAAGGTGACCACGCTCACCACCTTCTGCACCTCAAAAATAATAAGACCTCCCTGAAAATAAGGCCAAGCACTTATTTTTGGGGGGAAACACGGGAGTAGGTAGTAGGAAAGATGACAAGGGTAATAGTTATATAGCCTACTACATGGGTAAAAATCCTTAGGCATAAGATGCAGTGAGAATTAGGTGTTTAGCAGAGTGATGGCATTGGGGGAAGAAACTATCTTTGTGTCTTACTTGTTTGGGCATGTAATGCCTATAGTAATGCCTCTTGAGGGGAGAAGTTGAAACAGTTTATGTCCAGGATGTGAGGGGTCTGTAGATGAGTGTTTGTTTATTTCTTTGTTTGTTTGCAGGTTGTGAATAATTCTCATTTCTCTCACAGGTAAAACTGGAAAAAATAAAGAGACATTGTAATACAACCTCTTGGTGTTGTGACATAAAGATGTGTAGTTAAAGGTTTCAGTTCTTCCTCCCTTCACTGGAAGATAAATTCATTTCATAGGAGATAAATAAAATCAAATGTAATATTTTAAAAAGGAACTCAAAATATAGATAATAAAACAGTGATTGTCTTCTATAATTAAGGATGTAGATTTTAAGCACATAGAAAGAAGAGAAATCTTCGGGAAAATAGTCTTAAATTATACAGAATGTTATACTTGCTCAGAAAAATAGAATTAAGAGAAAAAGAAGCTTGAAACAAAACCTCATTCAATATTTTTCTAAAGTTTTTACCAATTACTTAGAGATAACTTAATCCCTAAGCAAAGTCTTATTTCTTTTTATTCTGGACCTCTTCTGATTTATTAGTGTAATACCAGTCATTTATCAGAGATGCTGAGGTATCAGGTACAGGAACTTCTCCTCTCTCCCCTGGAGATTTCCATCTCTCTTTAAAAGGTTGAAATCTAAAAATAGCAAATAGGGATGGTTAAATGCAAATGAAGACTGGCAGGGATGTTATAGTATTGTGAATGCAGGCTGACTATTTGTAACAACACATACCCTCCCTCCCTCCCTTCCTCTTTTGCAAATCAAACAGATGGAACTCAGTAATGAAGTAGGCTGAGTAGGCTCTATTTTATAAATGGGAAAAGGGCTGAGACACAGAATCCTCCTCAAGCATCCGCAGATGCGCTAAATATGTTTCTTCCATATTTAAAACAAGATATGGCACTTTATCCAATATGTTTGCCAGCATTATGCGAAAGTTCTATCTTTGCAGAAGTGTTTGTTTTTCCTTACTCTTTGCATGTGCAGCTTTGGGATAATTTACTTTTTCACTTGGTAGTATAAAATGAATCACTTAATTATCTCCATCTAGGACTAATTTTGGAGATGCATCTCCCAGGAAAGCAATAATTTGTTTTACTGGGGCAAAAAAGATTTTAGTTACAATAATAATGCCAACAAATACAGCAATCCCGGAAATACACAGGTTGCTATGGGAATTGTTTCCCCCCCATAATCAAAGTTGTCTGACACAGAGATGTGTCACTGTTTGTGTCAAGAAGAAACATTGAAGAAAATAAACCAGTGTGATATAAAAGGGACAGTCAGAAGAAGGAAGGAACAAAAAAAGAAGGAAGGAGAAGGAGAGAAGAGAAAAGAATAAGAAAATGGAATTCAATTTGTGGCAATAAATATAATTTTTAACATGAGCATAAAGGTTTTCTCAGAAGTACCATATTTTTCGGAGTATAAGACGCACCTTCCCCCCTAAAAGAGGGTGAAAATTTGGGTGCGTCTTATACACCGAATGTAGCCCCACCCACCAGCCCCCACCCTTTGGCCTCTGCCTCCCAGCAATTTACCTCTTTGCAGCAAACGGGCTTGCGGAAGCTTCAAAAAGCGATAGCAATCCCTGCAGCCTCTAAGAACTGATGATGGGAGAAATTGAAAGTGAAACTTGCTGTTTGCTCCACATGGCAAATTTCTGGGAGGCAGATTTTTTTTTCTTGTGCTAATCCGGCTGTTTCCTGCAAGGAGGTAAGTTAACAACTATAAATGCCTATAGAATGTTCAAATTATTAGACTTATTTTTTTAAAGACTGCTTTATTATTGATCTAGACAACGTAACAAAATGAAGAAGCTTTTTAAAATAAATGCTTGATCTGAAGAGGCCCAGTGCTAATGTTTTAAAAAGTGCTATTCTTTTAAATAGCAGAGAATAACTATACTTCCAGAAAGCACATAAATTTTAACAGCATCTGTACAAGTATAGTCTGAAATATAACACTACAAACAGTGTATATTGTCTGTACTGTTTGTTGCAAGGAGGGAAATTGTTGGGAGGCAGACAGATATTTTCCCCTTGTTTTCCTCCCCAAAATCTAGGTGCGTCTTATGCTCCAAAAAATACGGGTAGCTGAATTCCCAGGCTCACCTTTAGTTAAACTTATACATCTACTCTTTAAATGTGTGAATACTCATTTCTCCAATTTAGTTCAATCAATCAAACTGAAGGTTCAATTGTTTAGTTGGATTACTTTAGACCTGTTAATGAGGATAAGTCTAGCTCTCTGTATTTACTCACTACTGAGCATCAAAACTGTAGATTTGTAGATAACCCTCTTTCCTTTGCTGGCAAGCTCCTTTTGCTTCTATTATGGTATTGTACAATATATGATAAAAATGCAGGGCTGACCTTTATTTAGATATAATAAACTGCTTAAACATAGGCTATTGTAATTGCAATCACAATGGCAACTCCAAAACTTTTTACTTACTTGAAATAATTTCATCTGACTTGTTTGCATTGGGGTGGATTCCTGTACCAGTTGGTACCAGTTCACTGCGCGCATTGTGAGCAATTCGCTTGTGCGCACTGACTGCACATTGCTCACGCATGCACAGTTGATGAAAAATTATTCTGTGCTTGTGCAGAAACATGCCAGAAATGGCAGAAGAGACCGGGGAATTGGTTCAGGAGTGTGGCCATCCTGGGTCGCTACCGGTTCTGTGACCCAAGGCAAATCATCACTACCAGTTCGGCCGAACTGGGCCAAACAGGGAGCAACCCACCTCTGGTTCGCATGTCAGTTATTAGATCAGAGTAGTCCAGCGTTGGCAATTTTAAGATTTGTGAACTTCAACTCCCAGAATTCTCCAGCCAGAAGTCATAAAGTTGCCAAGATTGGACATCTCTGTATTCCTTGGAGAAAGATTATTAGAAGAAGGGAACCTGGGAATTGGCTCTAACTTAATTTGCCTGGTAACATTGATTATGAAAATATATTTGTATGCTCTGATTATTCTCATGGCCTTCAGGAAAGCTGTTAAAACCTGGCTATTCCGGCAGGCCTGGGGCTGTTGACCTCATTGTTGAGGTCCAGCCCCGATTAGAACGAATGCATGTGTTGTGATTTTAAATCTGTCTTTTTCTTATTTTTTTTCTTCCTCTTCTTCTTTTTTGTAAGCCGCCCGGAGTCCTTCGGGATTGGGCGGCATATAAATTTTAATAATAAATAAATAAAACACTAGAGTATCTCTTATTTGGTAAAAGAAAAAAGAAATCATGATACACCTGAATGTTTAAAAATTATAAATTTGTAGATGTTAATGACATAAGAAAGATGTTAAAATTTGGATGTACTTTAAGGAATGGCTGTACACCTATTTTAACATAAGGAAGACTTCATACATAATTGACAACTGAAAGCTTGCATTATTGTTCCTTTATATTACCTAACCGACATGTATTATTTGCCTACACAAGACTATTTTTCTAAAAGTTGGTTTAGGGTTTCTTTCAAATAAATATAATTCTTTCTTTCTTTCTTTCTTTCTTTCTTTCTTTCTTTCTTTCTTTCTTTCTTTCTTTCTTTCTTTTCTTGAAGAAGGAAATGACGGAAAGGATTTGCCATTAAAGATAATTCAGACAATTTTGCAAGAACAACATTTATATGGACAAAGTGTTCTGATGATGCTCCAATGGACAACTCTCTAAGAATCTGAGGAACTTTCAGTCTTGGAGTAAGCTTCCAATGCAATTTAAATTAATTTCTGTGGACTTCAGTAATTTTATTTCCCTTTCTTTCACTCTGGCCTTGTGATTCTTGCTACCTTTATTGTTCTATTTTGCATTCATCCTCCGGAAGCTGCAGGTAGCCCACCTACAGTGGCTGGAAAATGAGGAAAATATTCAAAGTGGAAGAATGTCACCATCCTGCATTGCCTGTCAAAGAACAAAATATTTTTCTGAAATACTATCTTGTACTTCAAGGAAGCATGGATTATCCTTCAAAAATGTGACTAAATCTTTCTAATAAATAACTAAAAGTTTAATTTAGAAAGCCAGAGATACTGCCCAGCGGGATGCAAGTGTGATGAATGGTAGAGAAATGGGATAGATAAATAAACAAATAAATAATAAAATATTTTGAAAAATATAGTATCACTGAGATTATTTGATTGGGAAACTAACATTTTCCTGTAAAAGAATAAGGAAATAAGAATATTTCTCAGACCAAGGAAGTATTAAGCAGACATTTGGTTCAGATTTCTCCTAATTTCAATTGCCTTGCATATATTGACATCTAGTATACGTATATTGAAAAAAGCATAGATGCATTCCACTAAAATAACCAGCAAAGCATTTGATTTTAGGTTACTCGTATCAGTGAGTCAAACAACACTAAGTGGGAAATTTAACTATCACCATCATGTTGACACTAAGCTCAGCAACATAAACAATGCCAGAAAACTATCAAGTAATTTCTTAACAGAATATAGCTACGGGCCATGAAACACACACCCTTTGCTTAACGAATTCTAGTGTGTTTATTTTGTATAAGTCATTAAGATTCTATTAAAAATTGTGCTGGGAAGTGAGATTAATGGTGCATGTAGCTCAGTCCTCTCAATGCTGGCAAACTGCAGATTGTAACCCAAACAAGATTTCAAGTGTTGAAATACTTGACATTGAATCTGAGCCACGACCTTTCCAGTTTTAAACTGGAAAGTTTATTTCCTATTTCAAGGGAGGAGGGGGTTCTTTTGGGTTTCCATTCTCTTCTTTTACTTTTCTTCTACTTTCTTTCACTTTCTACATCAGTATTTATAATTTATGTTGCCTTCTCATTTTTTTCCTATGAAAGGAAAGTTTAAAATTTTACAAGTTGAAGGCTAATCACACTTATCTGTGGCACGAAAAACATACAGGTTCATGTTGTCTTCAAGCAAAGAAGTTAAAAGAAAGATCACAGAGAGAATAATTTCTACAAATAAATAAAATGCTAATGGGTTTGTTATTTTCATTCCCTTTTTTGGTTTACATTTGTACACAAATATATTCTACATTCTCTCCTCTACCCATCCCTGTTGTCAATTGAATATATTCAAGTACAATTTTAATTTCTATTCTTCAGTGCCAGTTTTATGTTGTTTTAAAATTCTTGGGAGAGTCAGTTGAGTGTAGTGGTTAAGGCATCAGGCTAGAAATCAAGAAGTATCTAATTCTGCCTTACGCACAAAGGCAACTGCGTGACCTTGGGCCAATCACTCTCTCAACCCTACAAAGCAGGCAATGGCAAACCAGTGTTAGAAAACCTTGCCAAGAAGACTGCAGGGGCTAGTACAGGCAATCAACAGGAGTCAACCCTGACTTAAAGATGTGAGCGCATATGTCCGCACGCACATGCGCAAACACAAATGCAGGTTTACTTTATCATGTTTATTAAAAATATGGTATGAATCTCAGCCAATCCCCTTTATTTATTAGGCTTTCAGGTGGCAAACAAAATAAAAATGATAAAAATGGATACACTTGAATAAAGATATATAAGAACCCTATCTTAAATCTTATTATGGATCCCCAGCCAAAGCCTTAATGCTAGATCACAAAATTTCTCAACATTGTGAGTTGTGCAAGCCTTAGTTGTTTATCTAACATGCAATTATTACACCATCTTCTATCCCAGGGTTTTTCAAACTCTGTTTTGCAAGGACCCTAGGGTTCCATGAGAAATTGATGAGGTCCATAAGAGACTGCCGTTTAGTTGAATGCAGCTCAATTTTTGTCCTGGGAACTTTGCCTTTTGATCAAAGATTCTGGCAATTTGATTGTGTTTTTATAACCCGCAGGTTCCACAGCCTGAAAATAAATTGGATACTCCCTGCTCTGACATGTTTGTTTGTAACCTAATCTGTGTCATACTGGGTGATCAATTGTTGTCCACATCCAAATGCTGCACCAGTCTGAAAGCAACTCAGGATTTCTGTGATCCCATGGTGTGAACTTTATTCAGAAGCTGAGCAGGTTTATTTCTGTCTCCGGTTTGAAGCTATTGTGGAACTAAAAGTTTCTTTGAAATGCAACCCATTCTCCAGTCTCCAGGAATTCTAGCCTCACCGTGGCTCCTGATCTTTGATCTTCACAGGACTTGGAAACAAAGAATTTGGTGGCCTTTCTGTTCTCCTAGTAGGAACTGTCACATCAATCAAAGCAAGTAAGGTAGTCTTCGACTTACACTGGTTCATTTAGTGAATTATAATGTTCAAAAATACAATAGCACTGAAAAATATGACTTACGAAAGTTTTTCATGGGGTGCTGCAAAGACCGAGTTATAGCCTTTGCAGCATCCCGATGATCATGTGATCAAAATTCAGATGCTTGGCAACAGGTTCATGTTTATGACTCACTATGCCCCAGGGTCATGTGATCACCTTTTGTGACCTTCTGACAAGCAAAGTCAAAGGGGAAGCCAGATTCACTTAACATCTCTGTTACTAACTTATCAACTGCAGTAATTCACTTAACAACTGTGGCAAGAAAGGCTATAAAATGGGCCAAAACTCACTTAACAAATGTCTCACTTAACAACATAAATTTTGGGCACAATTGAAGTCATAAGTCAAGGACTACCTGTGAACAAAGTAAAGATGTGGACTGTCTGAACATCTTAACCATTGCATCGTACTGGCTCTTTAAGATATGTATCTTTTTTCCCCTTTTACAGGAAGAAAAACTATATAATGTCTTGTTAGTAACCAACATCAAAATATACTCTGAACCTAATGAAAATGGAAAGAATAGAGCTTTAATATTGCCTACAGCTCTTATTTTAGAATCATTCTTTTCTTTTTTTATAACCGTAAATGGATTTAGCAGCCCATTATTTCTCTTCCTGGTAGTTAGTGAGCTCAGTAAATATGTGGACAAAAGATTTCAGGGATATGAGGTCTAATTAGATGAGCATTTAGAAAGCACAGAAATCTTCCCATAATAACTAGGACATTGTATCATACTATGATGTACCTAAATTAGAGTTACTAGTCTTCCATACTGCGGCATAGTTTTTGCTCTAAAATGATTTTGTTTTATATGCCAATTACCGGTAGATTGTTTATTGGATTAAAGACTTTGGGCTTGGCTTAGATAATTTTTTCTCCTAAAATGACATGATGGTTGTTCATATTTAGGTGGACTTGAAGAATTAAACATTAAACAGACTGAACTACTAGTAAGAAATACTGTGTCTAGTTCTTCATCCAAGATATTCCAAAACTTAGGGAAAAGAAAGCAAAAATAATACCAATAGTAATTGGTACTTGTGGAGCACTACCTGAACACCATCAGGACTGACAAAATTACCAATAACAAAAGGTAGCTTTCTTTGTCAGCTTACATCCTATGATGATACCTTTAACACCATCAAACACCAATATCTTTCTAGCCAAAGTTCTTGGGAATGACTTGATAGGTAGATAAAAATGCCAAATATAAATATCTGCCTGACAGTGCAACCAACATTAACAATAATCCTGCCCATGGCTACCCCCTTGTGATATTTTGATGAGGTTGAGAGCTATGCTGGCAGTGACATATTCTACCAGAAAGGTCACTCATGTCAGACAAATCTCAGAAGAACTAGACCAAGCCTATACATTAACCCATTTACTACACACTAGTGGGAAAACAACAATATTTTTTTATATTAGATCAGCCATCACCTGTCAACAAGGACGGCATCAGATGTTAAGAGTTCCTGAGCATCTAGGCAATTAGGGAATGGGACTCAGAAGTTATGTCTTGGCAACTAAGGCTCAACCCTGTGTGATTTGTTCAATGATCCATCTATTTGGGGGGTCTTTGGGGATATCCATAGTATACTATGGAGTTTTCTCTAACACTAAAGTTCAAATGTGAATGTATTTTCTGTGCTGCTTGCTCAAGTTCCAAGTCTCACTTTCACAGAATGTCAAAGGCAGAAACTATTGCCTACATGATTCTAATCCCAGCATTTGATTATCTTTTCCAAGGCCTTCAGAACTGCTCTACCATGTCCCATCAATTCATTTACTGTTGACAGTTCATCCTAAACATTGGAAGCTATTCACCTTTTTCAATATTTAGTCCCATTTTTTATTACGTTTGATTTTGATTACTGTGTTTCCCCGAAAATACGACCGGGTCTTATTTTCTTTTTACCTACAAAATATGGCTTGGACTTTATTATGGGGGGAGGGTTTATTGTTTTGGGGTTGCCAGGCTCCCAAAGAGCTGGGCGCAGCCTCATGGGTGAATGGCTGTGTTGTGCTGTCACAACAGCCCAACACAACATCCATGAAGTGACCACGCTCACGAGCAGCCACCCGGCAAAAAACCCTTTGCAGACGGGCACAGCACTATTCACTGACCTAGGGGTATCGCCAAGCCGCGTGAGCGTCTGTTCGCTGCCGCACGGCTCCCGTGGCTTGGCGCCTTCCAAATGCCAGTGAATGGCGCTCTGCACGGCTGAAGAAGGGGGTTGCATGAGCGACTGTTATTTATTTATTTTATTTATTTTATTTATTTTATTTATTTTATTTATTTTATTATTTATTTTATTTATTTTATTTATTTTATTTATTTTATTTATTTTATTTATTTTATTTATTTTATTTATTTTATTTATTTATTTTATTTATTTTATTTATTTTATTTATTTTATTTATTTTATTTATTTATTTTATTTATTTTATTTATTTTGTTTATTTTATTTATTTTATTTATTTATTTNAAACTATTCCCCAAGGCACCTGAGGGGAGAACAAGAAACAATGGGGGGAAACTAATCAAGGAGAGAAGCAACGTAGAACTAAGGAGGAATTTCCTGACAGTGAGAACAATTAATCAGTGGAACAACTTGCCTCCAGAAGTTGTGAATGCCCCAACACGGGAAGGCTTTAAGGTGTTGGAGAGCCATTTGTCTGAAACAGTATAGGGTTTCCTGCCTAGGCAGGGGGTTGGACTAGAAGACCTCCAGGGTCCCTTCCAGCTCTGCTATTGTATTGATATGTACTCTTCTCATGTTAAATAAACAGTGCATACTTCCCCCCAACCCACCCCCTACAGCAGTTAGAAAGATGAATCACGGAGTAAAAAGAAGGTGGCTTAAATCCTGTCCTCCTAAGTAATTTTTTTTTTTGCTACTACCCCAAAGAGCCAGTAAACAGAAGCCAAATCCAAGAAGCCGTTTTATTGAAGAGTCTCTGCTCGTAATAAATAGAGCTGTAGAACAGAAGAATGGAGAGGGGAGGGAGGGCAACACACCACAAAGGCAGTGGAGTCACAGGACTCTTTCCTGTGTTCTAAATACAGACACACACACACACACAGGCACACAGCTTCATTCTCCTTCCAAGCATTGCTTTCCACGTGGACCACAACCGCAACCAACAAGAAACATTGGAGCGCAGGCCTCAGCCAACAGAAGCATTGGCTAAGAGGATGGATGTTGAACTCCCATCTCCATCACTCCTGGGTCAAGGAGTGGATGATGTCTTTCACCAGCATGGTACCAATCAGCATCTTCTCACTGTTGATGGTAAGCTGTGCCGAGTTGTCCGGCTTCTTCTCCAGCGTGATCAAGATGAGACATTCTCCGCTCACTGTTTTAGCAGCAAACCTGGCCAGGGGAAAACACCGAAGGAAAAAAATGGCAACGGAAAAAAAATAATGAAGAGTAGTTGCAAATAAGGGAATAACGTTCCTAACCAGTAGCTTTCTGGATGTATTGAATGTGAATGTCCCATAATCTCCAAGGTAGAAACCAGCAAGATTAAAAAGGCAGAAGATGGTTGGAGGAAGGAAATCGGCAGTTTCCAAGGGAGGTCAGAATACTCAGGGGTCGCCAACCTTTCGGACCCAGGGATCACTAAATTCATAATTTTAAATCCCGCGGACCACTAATGTGATCTGCCTAATGACCAGTCATAACTCAGTATCACTCAGTCCTCGCCAGCCTGCCCAGGCTCCTTAAGGGCCCCAATAGAAAGTAGCTGTTAGAGCTAAGAAGCCACCACGAGAAAGTTGGCAAAACAGCTCAGTTCAAATTGGATCTGAATGAGAAGGAGGCTCAGCAGAAGCACCTCACCGAGGACTACAAGCATAGGCTNGCTAGGAGGAGACTCTATGGTGGGGGACCTGGACTTCTGGTCAGCAGAGGAAAAAGGGCGCCATGCTAGGAGGAGGGAGACTCTATGGTGGGGGAACGAGACTTCCGGTCGGTTCCAGAATTGAATGGCGGGGGTGGGGCTTCTGGTTAGGACCTTTGTGGCTCTTGGAGTGTTTTAAGGTTGCCAATCCCTGGGCTAGACAAATCCTCGTGGATGCCTTCAATGGACCAACCACTGACCTTCAATGGACTCTACAGACTTGCAGTCTGATGATTTGGTTGCTACCTCCAGAATGAGAATAAATCGATGGAGGGCAGCCCTAGAAAGCAGTCACCTTTCCCCTCCCCTTACAAACTTCCAGTTGGCATCTACCCGAAACAGAAAGTAGGACTAGATAAGTTATTGATCTCTTGCAGCAGGACTCATCCTTGGGTTCTTCAATCCCGTTCTGTCCGTTGTGTAGGAAGTTGGGGAAAAGCACAACGAACCACAGCAAGTACTCACCACAATTGGAAACTGGCCACCTGGGTAGAGTCACAGAAGTCTATGCCCATCACCACGTTGACCGTTTCCCCAGGAGCCAGAGACTCTGCGAGCGGAGGGGAAAAAAGGGAGGGAAGGATGTTAGGAGAGCCACTGTCTACACCTCCACTAGACCAGGACAACAAAGAGATTTCCTCCACTCTCAAACAGCCTGCAGCGAAACATGTCAAGTGGCCAGGAGCGATCCTAGCTACATTGGACAGTTGCATTTCCGGACCACAAATTAAACACATCACTAGCACTGATGGTGTTACCTAGTTGGGTGTAATGAAACCTCTGCAAGGAAACAAGGGAGCTCAGAGAACACCAAGGAGCCCTTAAGCACACTGACTATAATGCTGCATTCTCCAATGTGGGGTTTTCCATGGAGACTGAATTATGACTCCACCCGAAGCAGAAATGCTGGGAGCCGTGCTTTCCATGCACCAGGGAGCAAGAGATTATGGAAGAGACCCTTTCACTAGCTGGGGCCAAATGATCACTCTCGATCGAATAGAATATGTGTAGCTCAGATTGAATGGTGGGATCCGTGGTGCATTCAGAGCTTGGCTATTTTCTTCCATTACCAAAGGATGATGTCATCTACCCTGTTTCCCCCCAAAATAAGACCTACCCGATAATAAGCCCAATCGGGCTTTTGAGCCCATGCACTATGATAAGCTCTCCCCTGAAAATAAGCCCCCCCTAAAATATTTAAACATATGCGCAGCCAGTCTCCATCATTTCCTAGGGGGGGAGGGGGAAACATGCCCCAGGTGGCCCCACATGTACCTGCCATCCACGCGGAACAGCCTCACGGAGGCCGATCCTGAAATCCCTAACTACCGGGCTCCTTCTCTTAGTGGCGGCCGCAAAGAAAAAACTGCAACGCTCGGGCTGGCAAGAGTGGGCCAGAAACAGAGACAGAACTTCGGTCCGTCTCTGGGTTGGCTGATCTGTGGACTGCGGCCCGAGGTTAAGGGGCCTCCTACACCTCAAAAATAATAAGACCTCCCTGAAAATAAGGCCAAGCGCTTAATTTTGGGGGGGAGGGAGTCAAAAGAAAATAAGACCCTGTCTTATTTTTGGGGAAACGCAGTAATTCCGTCATGAAATTGTCTGCAAGAAAACCACCAAGCTCCAGAGAGCATGAAGAATTCAGAGTTCTCCTCCTTCTCTTCCTCCGCTCCTTTTCCCGTCTCCTCCACTCTGCCAACCCCACTCCCTATAGCACTGATGATGTTACCTAGTTGAGTCATACAATGCCTGCAAGAAAACAACCCCATGTCGATTCGCTGAGCTTTCCTGACCTGCTCCCGAGTTGCCATAGGCAGGGGGGATGGGAAATCGCACCCCGCAGCTGCACCGAGGAATTCACACCTCCGTCAAAACAAAGACACAGCTTAGCCAGTCGAAGTCAAGGCCATCTCCAGGGAGACCCTTCCATGGCTGGAGGGAGTGACTTCTACGACCAGCGAAATTGCTGTGTTGAGGAATGGGACTGCTGACACACTCTGGGGAGGGAAGGGGGATACAGGGCCAGAGACCAAGGTGGGAACTAGGTGAAGCCAGAGCTGGCTTCATCTAGATAGTGCCGACATGGCGCTCCTAATAGACAACTGGATTTTTCTTGACAACTGCTTGAGAGTCTTAATTTTATTAGGGCTTTGATCGGAATCCTAACACCATGCTCAGAGAGCACTAAGGACACCATAGTCCTCCTCCTCCTCCTCCACTCTGCAAACCCTCCTCCATTCTAGCACTGATGATGTCACCTAGAAAGCGTCAAGAAAACAACGAAGCTCAGACAGCACCAAGGGCCCCACATCTCAACCCTAAGCTACAAATATTCTCTTCTATCGGTGATCGGTATCTTCTGGGCTCACCTGAAGATGCCTCCTTCCCAACACTCCTCACCACTCACCATCCCAGAAAGCGTTATGCCCCTGTGCCCACCCCGTACCAATCTCCTTGAACTCCTGGATGCGCATGCCGGAGAGAAGTTTGGGCTCAGCCACACGGATGTTTTTCATTTCAGTTGCCATGTTATTGTAGATCTGGATCTGCACCGCTACCATGCGGGGGTCAGGAGCAAAAGGTTGCCGGCTGAAATAGTACTCCACCGAGAGGCCTTCCCCGGTCATGCGGTGCAGCAGCTCGTATTTCTTCACTGCCCCAAAGACAGGACTGATCATCTACGGATGGGAGAGCAGAAGAAGGACAAAACCACAAGGCGGCGCAATCAAATGGGTGCCAGGCCTGGAAGCCATTCTTTTGCAATTGGGCCTCCAGGACTCCTGCCACATTCAGTGCCACAGGTGGGGAAATGGGAGGTGGGATTATATGGAGTATGGGAGCTATAGGCAGTCACAACAACATTCCTTTCTCAGAGAGTCAAGGGCATCTTGCCCTGCGCCTGGAGGGGTGTGACTGGGAGGCATCTCCAGTTGGGACGCTGCCTGATTGGACCGTGGGATGGACACGTGGGTGCTAGGCAGGGATTTGTTTTGTTTGTTTTGTTTGTTTTATTAATACTTATAGGCCGCCCTTTTCCCTGAGGGGACTCAGGGCGGCTTACATAAAATGAGGGGGGGGTATACAAACAATAGACACAAACAATACATA